AACTTTCAGTTCGGCTGCCTTTCATTGATGCCTGCCAGATAATTCCATCTCTCAGGAAATATATGAAGGCCATACTCACAAACAATGTAAGCCTTGAGGAAGGAGCAATGATGATTACAAAAGAGTGTAGCGCCATACTTCAGAATCGCATGCCAGAGAAGCTGAACGACCCAGGGAGTTTTGTTTTATCTTGCAAGATCGGTTCTACACACTTCCATAGAGCACTTTGTGATTTGGGTTCTAGTGTGAACTTGATGCCTTACTCAGTGGCCAAGCTATTGGGCATCACTGATTTCAAACCTACAAAGATATCCCTAGTCTTTGCAGATCGATCTGTTCGCCGCCCTGTTGGTGTTATTATGGATGTTCCAATCATGGTTGGAGATTGCTACATTCCTGCTGACTTTGTAGTTCTTGATCTCGAACATCAACCTAAGGACCCCCTTATCTTGGGAAGGCCATTCCTAGCTACTGCAGGAGCCATTATAGATGTCAAGAATGGAAAGATTGACTTGCATCTTGGAGATATAGTGATGAATTTCGAGGTGAACAAATCCATGGAGAAACCAATTGTAGATGGTCAAGCATTTTGGATTGGAGAACTCACAGAGACTAGAGAATAAGTGCTGGATGAACTCCTTCTCATTGATCCTTTGGAACTAGTTTTGACAAAGGCTGAAAACGAGTTTGGATACATGGAGAGAGAAGCTCAAGGCCTAGTCAAATTTATGGATTCTATGGAAGCATACAAAGAACTGGTGGCTTACATGGACCTAGAGAGAGAAGAGGCGGAGCCACTCACTGACGAGAGTAAAGCAATTCCAGAAACCAAGGTTAAGTTCGACCCATGGTGCCCACTTAGAGCCCCAAAAGCCGAGCTCAAGCAACTCCCAGTTCGTTTAAGGTATGAATATCTCGGCCCTAATAAAACATATCCTGTTATTGTTAATGCTGCACTAACAAAAGAAGAGACCGCTTTAGAAAGGCACAGACGTTCCGAGAAGCGCCACAAAACGTTGAGGTTCGCTGAATAGGCCATCCCAGACTAAGAACAAATCAGAGCCCAGGTCAGCCCGTCCTACGAACTCGACCCTCTTGACCAAAGCCTAAGGCTTGCCAACCCGTACTTCGGTCAGGAGTTGTGTTAGCCGGGACCAAACTAATATCATTGAAAGGGTCTTTACATAAAACTTTCCTTTATTAAATATCAGAGTACATTACAAAATCCAATTTATTTAAAAACATGGGATTGATCCTTAATTCCAAAACCAAACAGCAAACCATTATTTTACAAAACCATACCACAAAACTATTTTGGTCGCCTATTGCCTGCAGCGGTCCGCTCTACTTCACACATCTATGGTTACCTGAAAACATTAAACAAAAGGAATAAGTAATCTAATATTATTCAGTGAGTCTAGAACCTTTATTTCCTAAACTCTAGTTCCCTAAACTCTAAAACATAACGTCGCGGGCTTATAATCATGCCTCCACCTACATTGAGGTTAACACACCACAACCTACATAACATATACAATAATAATGCTATAGTCTCAAGACTAATTGTACCTCAATCAAACAAGAACAAGTACGATCAATCCAAGACTATAACAACAATCAAACAATCTATATGCAATGCCCATGCAAACCTAGACAAGTATCTAATACTTGTTTTCTATATGCAATAAGGCGCCTAGGTGCATTAGCCACATTCTCTGCCCACGCCTGTGAAGGTTCACGCTCATCCGGAATCACACAGAAACTAGATGAACGCCTTCACCCGGGCACTACAGTCCATCGCGGTACCCGGTTCATCCTTCCATCTATTGGCCTTACTGGCGCACCATGCCAATGTCTGGTTGGATCCCATATCGTCATATGGTACCATACTCGGCCAAGGCAGCTGACCAGGTTATCCTCCGAGTCTTCCTCCCTTCATGCACAGCCTCCACGCTGCCAATCCGGTTGGGCTCTGACGTGCGAGAATGCGCTTGACTACACCTTCCTAGACAACATGTGGTTAGACACGCCACATGTTCTCAGTACTTAGCATATGGGCCTTTACGCACCACTATGCCTCATACCACCGGTTCTGCGGCAGAGCTTCCCTTGCCTCGGAAGAGTACCCACACGAACCTCGAAAGATCTGGCGGCTCAGCCGTCCGTGATCTTTCCACATCGGAGTCATACTCAACATATGGGCCTCACGCACCACCATGTTAGTATGCACTCGAGGTTTAGCGGCATAGCCATGCTATAACCCCACAACCGATGCATCTATGAGATTTGGCGGCATAGCCATCCACAATCTCACATCACCTAATGTATAGATATGCATCTACACTAACAAGATCTGACGGCATAACCTTCCCCGAAGGTACCCATCACAATCTTACACAGAAAAGAGATCTGTTGGCATATCCTTCCCCGAAGGTTACCCAACACAACCTCACACACAAAAGAGATCTGGCGGCCTAACCTTCCCCGAAGGTTACCCGACACAACCTCACAACACAAGAGATCTGATGGCATAACTTCTCTCCCTAGAAGATTACCCATCACAACCTCACAACAATGCAAACCTGCATATAAACACACAAGAGATTTGACGGCATAACTTCTCTCCTAGAAGATTACCCATCACAACCTCATAACACATTATATAAATTTCTGCAGCATAACTCTCCACAATTTTTACTAAACCTTATTGTTTAGAGAGTTATACTACAGAACCAATAACCAATATGAACAGAAAGCATCTCCTATGCTTTGGTGTTCATACAACCTGCATACACACAAAGATCCAAAAACTAAAACTATAACACCAAGACTCACCACTTTAAGAAGACTTCAAGATCCTCCTAGCTTTCCTTAAGCTTTGATCTTGACCTACTCTAATCTTCCACTAACCTCACTTAATTAAGAAAACTTTCTTAATTACTCTCTAATCACTTTTCAGGTGCTCTCTAGCTTTGGGAATGGAATGGTTTGGACTTGGGGCTGGAGGAGCGTATTTATAGGAGTTCAGGAGGCTGCCTGGCTTCTTGGGACGTCTCCAGTCATGCGCAGACACATGGAGACCTAGGTCTAGCATAGCTTTGCTTGGTGGCGACCTACACTGCCTCAGAACGCGACATCCAGGCGGTCTAGGCTAGGTAGCTTTGATTGGTGGCCTCTAGGGCGTCTCAGGACATGACACACGTCATTCCTATCCCCTCTCAATGCTCATCCAATGAGCCGACTTCCCCCAAGCATGTGGTGTGTCGTCCGATTGGTTATAACTCATCTTATCCATTAAGATGCTGGGTGCTTCTGTCTGATTGGTCAGCTCTTGATCCAATCCGTTTCTGCATCTCTCCACTTGCTTCTCATCCACTCCTGAAGCTTATACTCTCTCTCAGTAGTTGGTGTTGCATCCTGATTCGTCCAAGTCATTTCGTCTCCATTGAGCACTCTCAATGTCTCCGTCTGATTGGTTTGGACGATTCTTGTCTCTCATGAGCAGCTGGGTGTCTCTCCCTGATAGCATTAGGTCTTCTTGGAGCTTATCCACGCCCTCTCTCCTCTTTAGCAGCTGGTGTCGTTGCCCAATTGGCTTAGGCTTGCTTCGTCTTCATTCGGTAGCTGGATGTTGCTACATGATTGGCTGAATGGTTTTGGCTCCATTGAGTAGCTGAGTGTCTTCTCCATATTGGTTAGATCATCCTTATCTTCTCCAAGTAGCTGGTGTCACCACTTGATTGGCTTAGAACAAGATTGCTCCAAATGTACGTTTCCTCGTCCAGAGGGTTTCGTACGTTTCCCTGTCGGAGGGTTTCGTCCCCGTCGTGCTTGAGAATTAAAATCTCCTATTTTAATCCTTCTCTCATTTCCATGTTTCTGAGCTTCCACATAGTTGCTTGGAAATGTGCGGAATACCTCCATCCCGAACATTTACGTTTCTTGCAGTCGTTGCGGGATAGATCTTGGGCGTCCGTCCCATCTCTCAATCTGCTCGTCCGATTTGCATTCTGCTTCGACCAAACTTCTTAGAATGGTCTCTTATGTCGTCCAAACTCTTCTCTTCTTGATTTGGAGAACTTTGATATTTCGTCGTCCTGTTGACTCTTCCCATGTTCGTACAATGATCGTCCCACCTGGACAATCTTGCTGTATCTTCAGTTCTGCTCGATCGTTCTTGATCCTGTCTTGATCCAAGTCTTCGTTGTGATCTCTGGATTAGATCCCACGTCTTTGTCTTCCAATCCCAGAGTGTTGATCTTCCCATCCCGGCCTTTGGGATGTTTTAGGTCTTGATACGGGGTATCACATTCTCCCCCCCCTTAATAGAATTCGTCCCCGAATTCCAGTTGTAGAGAGTAGGAACGTTCCATTGTTCCGGTGTCTCTCCCCATCTTTGAAGATGCCTTGCCTCCTCTTACTCTGTCTTCACTTGCAGACTCCTCTTACTTGTCTTCACGTTGTCCCCTTGCAGACTCCTCTTCCACTGATCTCCTCTGATCCTCCTTGCTCAAATCTCCATTCCCATAACCATCCATCCCGGCTTTAACTATGGGTTATCTAATGTCAAAACCGTACCTTAACCAACACTTCCCTGTTGGTCTTGATCCCGGTCTGACCACTCTAGCGAGGTTCTCCTAACTTCGCTAACCACCTAACCTCTTACTCAAGGATTTCCGTCCTAGCTTTATTTCCCTCTTGGAAACAGCATTCACGGAATTTCCTTCTATTAACACATCGCTTCCCTTTAAGGGTTCCACTCGATGTGCTAATACCCAAAACTACTTTACCAGAACCAACTTGGTTCCAAGGATATCCGCTCTAGTTTCATTTCCCCTGGAAATAGAAACATCGGAATCTCCTTTCACCACATCGTTTCCCAAAACATGGGTTTCCTAAACGATGTCTCTACCAAACTCAACTTAAACCACCAAACAATCCTACTTACTATACCAAGCAAGCAAGAAAATAAACCATTCAAAGATTGAGTTAGAACCCGAAAAATACCTTTTCTCGGCATGTGGTTTAGGGTTCCTAGACTCTATCTTACATTCTACGGCTTCCACTCCCTGGTCGCCTCTCTCTCCTTGTGGTTGAGCGGGTGGGTTGACTAGTACTGGGGCAGTTCCTTGGACAGTCTGCTGAGAAATGGTCCTTTCTCTCCACAAGTAAGGCAAATGTTCTGCCTTTCATTCATCCTTGATCTAGCTCGCACATTGGGACATGCTCGGCTATGATGTCCCGTCCTTCCACATTGATCGCATGGTAGCGTGACTTGAGACGGTGCTGGGACTCTCATCCTCGCGAGTCTTCTGGGAGGCCTTCCCCTTTGGCGTGACACAGTTTGCTCTTGGCCATTACCCTCTGTTCTGAGATTCTCCAATTCTGTGGCGATTATCTCATCCCACCTTCTTGCTAGGTTAAGACCTTCATCATCTTGTGGCCATTCATTCTCTCCGGTACCTTCCTCCGTGGTTTGGTTAAGATCCGGTATTTGATATTCATTGCCTGCCACCGAGTTTGGTGCATCTTGTTCTCCATACATTGTACACCATATCGCATTAGCTTCTCCTTGATCTTGAGGTATGCTTCCTTCTCCATGCTCCATTGATGATGTGTATCCAGCGATCTCGTTGAGTTTCCTTGTCCAGTACGTGGGTGATACGTTCTGGTGTCCAAGATAATCCTCCCATGTTGGTTCCGGCGTATCCGGTTCTTCAGGTTGGTTTGTGAAGACTTCACTATTGACTTGAACTGCAACGGCTGGATCATTGCTTTCTACGCCAGTGGTAATGAACGGGTACACGTAGTCCGTTGGATTATCCTCCGTTGGCATGTACGGGTATACTCCACCTCCCGGTGCAAATACATGCGGCATTGGTATATGCGGTAGAACACTTGGTGGACTATCTCTATCCCAAGAGTTTGGTGTAGTCTCGCCTGAACTGATCTCTATGATTGGGTAGATGGCACTACTCTCTCCTCCTCAGGGTAATGTACTGGCCATGTCATGTGTTCGCCATACTCATTCACCGTTGTGCTGGGCTGCACGTTGTCTCTCGGCATAAGATATACGTCCTCGTCCCAATCACTGCTGCTATCATGATCTGTTAGTGTCTGCTGTTCCAAGTCCGTCACTACGATCCAGTGCTCCGAATTGCTCGACGGTTCTGAACTCGACGATCCAGACTCAGCTGTCCATCTTGCCCAGTACTAAACCACGACCCCTCATCATCCACAAACCAGTCACTCATGACTTCAAGCTATCACCACAACCGATGCATCTATGATATTTGGTGGCATAACCATCCACAATCTCACATCACCTAATGAATAGATATGCATCTACACAAACAAGATCTGACGGCATAACCTTCCCCGAAGGTCACCCATCACAATCTTACACAGAAAAGAGATCTGTTGGCATATCCTTCCCCGAAGGTTACCCAACACAACCTCACACACAAAAGAGATCTGGCGGCCTAACCTTCCCCGAAGGTTACCCGACACAACCTCACAACACAAGAGATCTGATGGCATAACTTCTCTCCCTAGAAGATTACCCATCACAACCTCACAACAATGCAAACCTGCATATAAACACACAAGAGATTTGACGGCATAACTTCTCTCCTAGAAGATTACCCATCACAACCTCACAACACATTATATAAATTTCTGCAGCATAACTCTCCACAATTTTTACTAAACCTTATTGTTTAGAGAGTTATACTACAGAACCAATAACCAATATGAACAGAAAGCATCTCCTATGCTTTGGTGTTCATACAACCTGCATACACACACAAAGATCCAAAAGACTAAAACTATAACACCAAGACTCACCACTTTAAGAAGACTTCAAGATCCTCCTAGCTTTCCTTAAGCTTTGATCTTGACCTACTCTAATCTTCCACTAACCTCACTTAATTAAGAAAACTTTCTTAATTACTCTCTAATCACTTTTCAGGTGCTCTCTAGCTTTGGGAATGGAATGGTTTGGACTTGGGGTGGAGGAGCGTATTTATAGGAGTTCAGGAGGCTGCCTGGCTTCTTGGGACGTCTCCAGTCATGCGCAGACACATGGAGACCTAGGTCTAGCATAGCTTTGCTTGGTGGCGACCTACACTGCCTCAGAACGCGACATCCAGGCGGTCTAGGCTAGGTAGCTTTGATTGGTGGCCTCTAGGGCGTCTCAGGACATGACACACGTCATTCCTATCCCCTCTCAATGCTCATCCAATGAGCCGACTTCCCCAAGCATGTGGTGTGGTCGTGCCATTGGAATAACTCATCTTATCCATTAAGATGTGTGCTTCTGTCTGATTGGTCAGCTCTTGATCCAATCCGTTTCTTCTCTCTACACTTGCTTCTCATCCACTCCTGAAGCTTATACTCTCTCCCAGTAGTTGGTGTTGCATCCTGATTCGTCCAAGTCAGTTTCGTCTCCATTGAGCACTCAATGTCTCCGTCTGATTGGTTTGGACGATTCTTGTCTCTCATGAGCAGCTGGGTGTCTCTCCCTGATAGCATTAGGTATTCTTGGAGCTTATCCACGCCCTCTCTCCTCTTTAGCAGCTGGTGTCGTTGCCCAATTGGTTTAGGCTTGCTTCGTCTTCATTCGGTAGCTGGATGTTGCTACATGATTGGCCTGTACGGTTTTGGCTCCATTGTAGTAGCTGAGTGTCTTCTCCATATTGGTTAGATCATCCTTATCTTCTCCAAGTAGCTGGTGTCACCACTTGATTGGCTTAGAACAAGATTGCTCCAAATGTACGTTTCCTCGTCCAGAGGGTTTCGTACGTTTCCCTGTCCGGAGGGTTTCGTCCCCGTCGTGCTTGAGAATTAAAATCTCCTATTTTAATCCTTCTCTCATTTCCATGTTTCTGAGCTTCCACATAGTTGCTTGGAAATGTGCGGAATACCTCCATCCCGAACATTTACGTTTCTTGCAGTCGTTGCGGGATAGATCTTGGGCGTCCGTCCCATCTCTCAATCTGCTCGTCCGATTTGCATTCTGCTTCGACCAAACTTCTTAGAATGGTCTCTTATGTCGTCCAAACTCTTCTCTTCTTGATTTGGAGAACTTTGATATTTCGTCGTCCTGTTGACTCTTCCCATGTTCGTACAATGATCGTCCCACCTGGACAATCTTGCTGTATCTTCACTTCTGCTCGATCGTTCTTGATCCTGTCTTGATCCAAGTCTTCGTTGTGATCTCTGGATTAGATCCACGTCTTTGTCTTCCAATCCCAGAGTGTTGATCTTCCCATCCCGGCCTTTGGGATGTTTTAGGTCTTGATACGGGGTATCACACTCTTGGTTACTCTTTGGATGATTTAACAGGAATCTCACCTGAGCTATGCACACATCGCATCATCCTGGAGGATGAGTCTAGTTCTTCAATTGAACACCAAAGGAGGCTAAACCCAACCTAAAGGAAGTTGTCAAGAAGGAGATAATGAAGCTGCTAAAGGCTGGAGTGATTTATCCAATATCAGATAGTGCATGGGTCAGCCCTGTACATGTTGCCAAAGAAAGGAGGGATCACAGTCATCAAGAATGAACATGATGAGCTCATTCCAACAAGGACAATCACTGGACACAGAATGTGTGTTGACTACAGGAAACTGAACTCCTCCACGCGCAAGGACCACTACCCCTTGCCATTCATAGACCAGATGCTTGAGCGCCTTGCCAATCATCAATACTATTGTTTCTTGGATGGATACTCAGGATTTTTCCAAATTCCAATCCACCCAGATGATCAGGAGAAGACTACATTCACTTGTCCCTATGGCACATATGCTTATAGGAGGATGCCTTTTGGATGTGCAATGCTCCAGCTACATTCCAAAGGTGTATGATGTCCATATTCACAGATCTCATAGAAGAAATTATGGAGGTTTTCATGGATGATTTCTCAGTATATGGTTCTTCCTTTGAATCATGTTTGGGGAATCTTGGAAGAGTGCTACAAAGATGTGAAGACAAGCACCTAGTTCTAAATTGGGAGAAGTGCCACTTTATGGTTAGAGATGGAATAGTGCTTGGACATAGAATCTCAGAGAGAGGCATAGAAGTTGACAAGGCCAAGATTGAAGTATGACAAACCTTCAGCCGCCCAAGACAGTCAAAGATATCAGAAGCTTCCTAGGACATGCTGGATTCTACAGGAGGTTTATTAAAGATTTCTCACAGATAGCAAGGCCATTAACACGCCTATTATGCAAGGATATCAACTTTGAGTTCACTGAAGAGTGTCACAAGGCTTTCACTAAGATCAAGGATGCATTGGTCAGTGCACCAGTAGTTCAACCTCCAAACTGGGAACTACCCTTTGAGATAATGTGTGATGCAAGTGATTATGCAGTAGGACAGTGCTTGGGCAAAGAAAGGACAAGAAGCTACATGTGATCTATTATGCCAGCAGAACGCTTGATGAGGCACAATGCAAGTATGCCACGACAGAAAAGGAGCTTCTTAGCTATTGTTTTGCATTTGAGAAGTTTCGATCATACTTGGTGGGATCGAAAGTTATAGTTCATTTTGATCATGCAACATTAAGGTATCTCTTATCCAAGAAAGATGCCAAGCCAAGATTGCTGAGATGGATACTTCTATTGCAAGAATTTGATCTTGAGATAAAGGACAGAAGAGGAGCAGATAATGGAGTGGCTGATCATCTCTCAAGAATGAGAGTGGAGGAAGATCTTCCGCTTGTTGATAGGTTGCTGATGTACTTGCATTTTACATAGTTTTAGCACATCTTTTATGCATCTTTTGCATAGTTTTAGCTTCCATTTGCATCATATCTTGTTCCTTTTCTCTTCTTATGCATTCATGTTAGTTTTAGGTTGCATTTGCATACATATGCATGTTTGGTCCTTTGAAATAGGTCTTTTGGAGCATTCTGGAGCATATGGGACATGAGGAGCATGGAGGGACTTGGCACATGGACGCAGCTCAACTGGATACGCAAAGGAAGAAGGGAGAAGCCATCTTGAAGACCAGCTCGACCGTCTACTCGACCAACCGGTCGAGTTCCTCAACTCGACCGGCCAAGCTTCAACTCGATCGAGCTGAGAAGTCAACAGTCAAACCCGAAAAATGTTGCTTCCCCCTTGACTTTCCTTTGACCCTAAACCTAATCCTCTTTGTATTTAAAGGCTCTAAGCCACGAAAAAACCACCAAGCTTTAGATTATTTTGTTTTAGCTTTCTTTAATTTATTGTCTTTTACTTTTTAGCTCTAATCCCATCTTTGTGTTCTTGAAGCTCTTGCTTCTTGAATCTTAGATCCTGGATTATCTTGCTTTGTATTTGCACTTGCTTATTTCAATAAAAGTTGTTTATTTCATCTCCTCTTTCTTATGATGTCTCTTTTATTGCATTTGCTTGTGTTTACATTCATGTGTAGTGAGTAGTTACCCATTGGGTTTGAGATGGGATAGATTAGAGGTTTCATATGCTTAATCCTTCTAGCTTATGGTCTTAATCTAGATTCTCTCTCTTTTGGATAGATCTTAAGGCTACATGACCACTACCCCTGGCTTGTAAGTCCTTAGGCGACTCCCCACACGAAGTGATGGCATTCGCTGGAAAAGATCCACTAAGAGCTCCAATATCTCTTGCTCTAGAAATAGAGGTCTAAGGGGTTGGATGGATTAGTTTGGGCAATGATCCTATAGCCTCCAAGGTTTGATTCTCACTGGCTAACCCCCTGTTTCTGAGATCATTCCTTGGTTGATAGCCTTCACCTTGGGAAAGGGTTGGTAGGCATTGAGAAGCCCAATATCAAGAGAAGCCTTGATACAAGGAGTTTTAAGAGCTGATGATTAAGTGTAGTTTCCTTGATTGCAAAACCCTGTCTTGAACCCTAATTCTCTCTTATCTTGTTAAAGTCGTCACCTTTAGCTTTGTTTGTCTCAACTCGTCCCTAAACTCGATCGAGCTGGTACTTTGTTCTACTCGACTCGAGTCCTTGGTCGAGCTGCTACTTCACTGCTTTTTTACTTTTATTGCATTGCATTTCATTTTATTTAGGTTGTTAGTGTTACTTCAAATCTATTACTGCTTGCTTGACTTCCTTGTTGTTTCATATTCTCATAGAGTGACAAGTTTCCCATTTTGGATTGATAACCCTTATACTACATGACTATGATGGTTAAGAGGGAATTGATTGATTGTGATTTACCACCATCATCTTTAACCACTGTTGCATTCCACCTCATTTTATCATTCATTCATATCATTCACACACAAAATCCTATCATCAATTTGGCGCCGTTGCCGATTTGGGAATATTTTTGTTGCATTTGAGTTTCAAACACACTTGGACGATCAAGCTATACCACCCCTGTTCTATTGTACTGCTGGGTTTTTGTCTCTTTTTGCAGGTGTATGCGAACTCGATCGAGTCGGTCTACAGAAGACTTGGTCGAGCTAGACTTCACAACGGGTAGAAAGAGGGTTCAGAGGTCACAGAGGGTACAAGAGGAACCTGAGGTGCTTGTTGCTGATACAATGGAAGTACCAGAGGGGAATGGAAACCCTTTGGGAATGGACTCGGTCGAGCTAGGCAAACTCGACCGATTGGTCAAGGAGATGCTCCAAACCGCCACCAACAGAGACAAGGGATTGTTCCACCACCAGTGCAGAACCACAACTTTGAGATCAAGCTGGGAATGATCAACCTTGTCAGAACAAGATGTTCCATGGATTGCCAAGTGAAGACCCCATTGACCACCTTGATGAGTTTGATAGGCTTTGTGATTTGACAAAGATCAATGGTGTCTCTGAAGATGCCATCAAGCTGAGACTCTTTCCTATGTCTCTAGCTGACAAAGCTCACCAATGGGAGAAGAGCTTGCCCCATGGCACAATCACCACTTGGGATGAATGCAAGAAGGCCTTTCTTGCTAAGTTTTTCTCCACCGGTCGCACAGCCAAGCTTAGAGGAGAGATATCCAGCTTCATCCAGCGAAACAATGAGACATTCGCAGAGGCTTGGGAGAGGTTCAAAGGGTACACAAGTCAGTGCCCACACCATGGATTCAACAATGAATCACTACTCTCCACTCTTTATAGAGGATGCTTGCCTAGGTATAGGGAGATGCTAGACACAGCTAGCAATGGGAACTTCCTCAACCAGGATGTAGATGATGGCTGGCAACTTGTGGAGAACAT